GGACCTGACAGAGGCTGTAGCAATGCCCAAAGCCTTCCTAGAGTGACAGAAATCTGAGCCGAGCCTCCAAGGAGAGGCTCAAAAGGTGCAGAGGGAACCCCCCTCACCCATTCTCCAACATCCCATTCTCCAAGATCCCTCATGCACTTCCACAGTGGGGGAGAATTACCTCCAGGGCATGGGCCTCATTCCTTTGCTGTTGAAGGCCTTCAAGGCAGACCGTTACTCCACTTCTTTCCATCGGTGATCCAGCACAGTCCCTGGCCCAGGGAAAAAAAAGAGTCAGGACACACTGCTGTAGGAATTAATGAATTATGGGTAAAGAGACTTGATTTAAAAAAATAGAACTATCTGGGGACAATAAAATTGAGGTGTGTTTGGGATCAGGGAAACTGAGAAACTCAGTCTTTCTAGAAAAAAGAATAAGAAAGAAAAGGGAACTGAACCTAGAAACTATAGATGGTTAAAATTTTTGATCTCATGCAAAAGAACTTAAGTTTTATATCCTAATGAAGATATTCAGCATAAGAAATACTTGGTCTAAATTTCATTTCAAACTTAGGCATTTGGATTTTATGTCATAGATATCAAATTTGAAAGATTTGAAGCTAAGAATGTCATGATTAAATCTGGGTGCCTTGCTAAGATGTTGAGACTTTTTGTTACAGACAAAACTCTGTTAAAAGATTTTAAGTGGGAATTTCATGACTAGATTTGTGTTTCATGGAAAGAAATCTGGACTTTATTTTGAAGGGTGACAGAACAAAATTTTATATCATGCTAAGGAGTTTGGATTTTTGCCAAAAAGTTTTAAGAAATGTGATGGTTGAGATTTTTGCTTGTGGGGGATAAATCTGCAGATAAACATAATGAAATATATTTTATGGCCAACATAAAATGGACTTCATATTACAAGCAACAAGGAAACATTGAAAATTGTAAATAGGAAAGTAAGGGACACAAATTTGAGGGTGATACTCAAACATTTTTATTTCTTGTTAAGAGTGTGCCAAAGTTCAACTTGCAGAGCATGCCAAGGAAATCTGATTGATATCAACACCAAAGGTGACAGACTTTAATCAAAGAAACTACATGATCAACATTGTGAATATGCAAAGAAATTCAGAATTTACTGAGGCTCTGACATAATTAAATTTTCACATGTGCTCAAGAATTTGTTTAGTCAATAAAAAAAGTCTAACAGAATAACCTGGTGAGTTTTTTTTCATGTTTGATAAATACTATGCAGCGTAATTACAAGACAAAACTCATATTTTATGCCAAGAATTTGGACTTAAATTCTATACCCAATTAAAAGACATCATAAGATTTTTAAGGTGGAGTTACAAGATCAAATTTTATATATTGTGCTAGGAAGTGTGAATTTTATTTTAAGGTATGACATGATCAAATTTTTATGTCATGCTAAAAAGTTTGGATTTAAGCCAATAAAGGACTTAAAGCAGTGACACAGTGAGATTTGGAGTTTTTTATAGACCAGGCTGAAGTTAAATTACATGGTAAAATGCTATATTTTATGTTAAGTAATTGAGACTTTACATTATAAGCAATGAAGAAAATGAAAAGTTTTAAGTTGAGAAGTTACATGGTCAAATTTATACATTTCAGCCTAGTTTAAAAAGTGATTCCTTATGGAAAGACAATATGATCAGATTTTTATAACATACTAAGGAGAGGTGATTTTATTTGAGAACTGAAGGCATTTGAGTGTTCTTGAATGTTCCATTTGGAAGAGGGAGATGATCTCATTTTTGAGTCCTCATGCAGAGGCGTTTGGATTTTAGCCAGTAAAGGGTTTTAAGGAGTGAATTGATGAGAGTTTTGTCTCTAGAGGAATTAAATGGTAAAACATATTTTATGTTAAGATGTCTGAATTTGATGAACCAGATAATGAATAAGCATTGACCACATCTCAGCAGGGCACCCCACTGGAATTAGAGCCCCCAATCTGCACTTGATGCTGAGGAGTTGAATCATTTATAGACAGGGCAGGTCTTACAATGAGAAGTTATATGATTAAATTTACATAGCATACTAAAAAGTTTGGACATTATTTTGAAGAATGACAGGATCTCACTTTTATGCTATGCTAAGGAATTTGGATTTCAGCCATTAAGAGATGTTAAGAGAATGACATGTTAGAATTTTTGCATTGGGTATAACAGTTGGCATAGATATTATATGATGGAATGTATTCTTTTATGCTAAAATTTACACTTCACCTCATATGTGATCAAGAGATAATTATAAAGCTTTAAGTAGAATTTATAAGAACAAATTCATGTACCTTTTTTGGGGGGAAGGACCGAGTCTTTGTCACTCTTGGTAGAGTGCTATGGCCATCAGAGCTCACAGCAACCTCACACTCTTGGGCTCAAATGATCCTCTTACCTCAGCCTCCCAAGTAGGTGGGACTACAGGCATGCACCACAATGCCTGGCTATTTTTAGAGATAGGGTTTCACTCTTGCTCAGGCTGGTCTTGAACTCCTGGGAGCTCAGGCAATCCACCTTCCTCAGCCTTGCAGAGTGCTAGGATTACAGGTGTGAGCCACTGCACCCAGTCTTCAAATTCATGTATCTTACAAGGAAATATGACCTTTGATTTTGAAGAGTGACATGATCAAAATCTTTATATCATACTAAAAGGTTTGTTATTAAGCCAGTAAAAGGTTTAGGACTGACCTGGTGAGATTTGGGTTTTATGTTTATCAGTCGGAAAATAAATTACATGGTGAAAATTTCTATGTTTTGCTAAGTATTTGGAACTTCTTATTATAGGCAATAAAAAGAAAACTTTTTGCATTTTAAATAGAGAAATTATGGGATAACATGTATTCATCTTGCTAAAAATTTAAACTTCCATGTTAATGAAAATTTTTATAACATGACAAAGATATCAGATTTTAGGTTAAAGGCAGGAAGTCAAAGGATTTAATTATTTGCATGATCAAATTTGTAAAATATGTTAAGAAGGGTAGACTTTGTGTTAAGAAGGTACATAATCTAGTTTTTAAATCATCTTACTAAGAAACTTAAATTTTAGCCAATAAAGGGCTATGAGAGACATGCTAAGATTTTTATTTCTGATAGATGAGTCTGCAAATGAATTAGTTAGATTTTGTATTTCAATTAGAATTTTATATTAGAGATTTCTAATTTTGCAATAATAATACATACCCTAGAGGACTTTTATGAAGAAGAAATCAGTTAATTTATGCAATGTGCTATGGATATATTGCTATGATGATGATGATAATTTTACCTAATTTGTATACCATGCTAAAATTATTCCTCTACCTTGAGGAATGACAAAATAAAAGTTTTATATTATGCTAAGGCCATTATATTTTAGCCAGAGAATGGTTTTAGTGAGTTTACATGTCAGATGTTTATGCTAAAAGGTTTGGATTTAACATTGCGGACAGTAAATAAACAGTGAAAGGCTTTAATCAGAGGGACTGTGTGATCAAATTTTAAGTGTCACACTAAGAAGGGTGTGCTTAATTTTGAGAAACAGCAGATCTGAATTTTGTATCCTATTGGAAAGTTTGGATTTTAGCCAATGAGGAAAAGGAGGAAATGCAAGCTTTTTTCATAGATCAGCCCAGTGGCTAAGAAGAAAACAAAAGAGGTGTTAAATTTATAAAGACTAGTAACTACACAGCTGATCTAATGATAATCAAAGCTCAGTTTGCTCCGCCCCAGTGAAAAGAAATGTGCAAATAATTCCATTGAAGACATTTCTTTAAATTCAGTCTCAGTCCACTAAAATCACCCAACACTAGGTTTTCAAAATCCATTCCAGGACAATCAGATTTCAAAGATATCTCATGCCCTCCTCCCACCCCAACTCCCATTCAATGTTCCACCTCTACTAGATACATCTCTTGTGTTGTGACAGAGAGAAGGGATATTTGCTAGAATAAAGAGACCAGCCCCATTTGAGTAACAAAGAAGTCTTGAGAAGACAAGATTGCAGAGGCAGGTAAATACATTTGCACTGCTAGAATTGAGGCCAGAGAGAGGTGTGAAGTTCCAGAAGCCTCACAAAGATGGCAATCCTGGAATAGGGGAAGTTTTAGGAGGAGCAGGAGGTTCGATGAATATCTCCTCAATAGCACAGAGTGAGGGAGAACACAGCAGTCATTGAAAGGAGATCAAATTGAGAAAGAGAAATCCACAAAAAGTCTGAGTTGGAATCAAGTAACAAATGTGCAAGTATTTGGCTCATGGTAAGCATTTTATAAACTTTATGGAAAAAACTAAAAACTCAATACCAGAATTCAGACCTCTACACACACCCGTGAAATCTCAGTATTAAACCTGGGGAAGGAAATGAGAGCTATTTGGAGCTGCTGACCCAACTGACGGGATAGTGGCCACATGTCCAATTTCTCCTCTTCCACTGACCTTCTGAAATAGTGGGCATGTTTGCTGGAGATTCCCGCCTCCTCAACCACAGAGGCTGGACTGGCTCCAGGGTGACGAGCCTGCCAGGGGTGGCTTTGGATGGCGCTGGGATGTGACCTCTGTGATTTTTGAGTGACCAAAGCAGGGAAGGACAATTAAGCAGCCTTTGAGTGCCAGGGTGAAATGGGGTAGCATGCACTCCTTGCCAGGTGCCTGCTGCCACAGAGGCCGCTCTGGGACAGTCACTCCATAAAATTTATGGGCTGTGAATTTCTCACATCACAGAGGGAGCAGACAGGCCAAGCAGACAAGCTAAGCCTGGGAGTCAGGTCTAGGTAAATAGATATTCTCTCCCTGGGGGTGCCCCAAGTGACCAGTTGAGGAGGCTGGTTTAGACACAAGAAGGTTTTCCCCAGTTTCTCTCTATTCTAGATGGTTGGACATCTGATTTGAGTTCCTTGAGAACTTGACCCTAACATCTCTTCAGACCTTAAACTTTCACCTTTACTCCCCATCACCTCCCACTACCACCAGGTTCTGATCACCACCGTCCCAGTTGCTGACTGGACGCATCACAACCTTGCCAATCTTCAGAAAACACTCCTTTCCATCCGACGAAATGATAGAACCCTCTGAAGACTCATTTGAGACGATGATGGAGCATAAGAATCCATCATCAAAACAAATGGAGTCCTCCGAGGGCTCATCCAACACCACCGTGGAGACATCTGGCAGCGGAGTGCAGGAAGCAGCAGGGCCAGCCAAGCACCCGGCCCAGGAAAGAGAGGAGCCGCCCAGTGGCTCAGTGCAGGAAGGGGAAGAGCTGCCCACTGATCTACTCCAAGACATGGAGGAGCCATCCAGTGGCCCACATAGGGAAATAGAGGATCCACCCAATGACCTACTCCAAGACATGGAGGAGTCATGCAATGGTTCACACCAGGCGGTGGAGGATCCACTCAGTGAAGCATCTGATAAGATGAAAGAAGCATCAGTAAACCCATCTAGAGCCCAGCAGGCACAAGAAGCTAACACTGACCTGAACGAATCGAGAAGGGAGGAGAATCCTGAAGAAGAGCACAGCCAAACCGAGTCCCCTACCACAGAAGTCATGGCCACGATGAGGTCCATCATCTCCCTGTACTTCCGCATGCAAGACCTCAAAGAGCAACAAAGGGTGGCAGAAGAGATCTTGGTCAGAGGGATCAGTGCAGGCCGACTACCTGCACCCAAAAATTTCTCTGGCGATCGCAGAGAATTCCATGAGTTTATCGTGCTCTGCCAGCTGACCTTACAAAGCTACCCAAGAATGTTCTATAGTGACCACCTGAGAGTTGGGTATGTCATCAGCCACCTCTCTGGCTTGGCCTTAGAATGGGCCAAAGCACTGCTACAGAAAAACAGTCCCCTAATGGGAGACTTCCCAGCCTTTCTGGAGGCCATGTCAGAAGTGTTCGAATACCGGCAGACACTGCGTGTGGCAGAAGAGGCCATGTTAAATATCAGGCAGGGGAATCGCTCTGCCGCCGAGTACATCAATGAGTTTCAGAGCCTGGTACCCACCCTGCGCTGGCCAGACGAAGTCCTGCAAGCCCACCTCTGTCAAGGGCTCAATGAGGAGATCAGGCATTATCTATTTCGGGTCCCTCAGCCGGATTCCCTGGAGAGTCTGACTGTGCTCGTCCTGCAAATAGAAGAAAAACTGGCAGAGAGAAGAGCAGTGCTTAGGCTGCCCCCTGAGGCCCGCCCACGGAACCTGACCTGGATTGACTCACCTGCTCCAGAGAGGTGGATGGTCAGCAGCTGGCTGCCCAGTGAAGTCCACCCAGGCATCAATCGAGCCCATCTCTTCCTGCTGCTCATGGTGAGGGTGAACCCCTACCACAGCGTAGCAGTCCAGGCCCTAGTTGATTCAGGAGCAGATGGCAACTTCATGGATGAGAAGTTTGCCCAAGAGCACTATGTTGAGCTTTATGAGAAGCCTTACCCACAGTCGATCCAGACTGTGGATGGCTCCCTGATCGGTGACGAGCCTGTCTGGCTCTACACTGAGCCCCTGGTGTGTATTCACCAGAACCACCAAGAGTCTATCGAATTTGACATCGTACCTTCACCTAACTTCTCCGTAGTCCTGGGCATCCGCTGGCTCCGAGTCCATGCCCCTGAAGTTGACTGGATCAAAGGCCGCTGCACCTTCCACTCTCCCTACTGCCTGAAGAACTGCTTCCGCCCGCCGCCCCCATGCATCGCCCTGGAGAGACACGGCATGAGCCTGCTACCCGGACTGCCACACCCATACTCAGACCTGGCCGACGTGTTTAACCCGAAGGAAGCAGATGATGAGACTTCCGACCAGCCAAGCTCAGACGGATCCGATGATCTTTCTGAATCAGAGCCCTCTGAGCTTCAGCAGGCTGGAGACAGTGATCGCGAGACGTTTTACGAATGTTCCTCGACTGCGTCTTGGGAACCTGTGCGTGCCAGGGTGCAAGAAAGAGCCAAACCACAGGAAGAATGCTGGGATCTGCAAGACATGCTGACTGACAAACAGGACTACATACAGATGATTCCAGAACTATTTGACCAGTTACACGGAGCTACATGGTTCACAAAACTGGTGCTGCGAGGGACCATTGTGGAGGAAAGCGTGAACATACATGGCACAGAAGATATATGGAAAGCAGCATTTGGTTTGGAGATTCAAGATATGAAGAGTTACCAGCCCTTTGCCCTATCTCCAGACCCTATTATACCCCAGAACGTGATTCACTTCGTCCTCAAGGACATTCTAGGTTTCTGTGTGATCTCCTATGCTCAGGAAGTCCTGATCTACTCAATGTCTCAGGAGGAACACCTGCAACATGTCCGCCAGATCCTGGTCCGCTTTCGGCATCACCGCATCTACTGCTCCCTGGACAAGAGCCAGTTCCACCGGCACACCGCAGAATTCCTGGGATTCGTCATAACCCCCAAAGGGGTGAAAATGAACAAGAGCATCATGGATGTCATAACAGCATACCCCATCCCTGGCTCCAAGAAGACCCTACAAAACCTAATGGAGCTCGTCCTCCCCTACCGGCACTTTGTTGAACGTTTCGCTATCATCACAGAACCCCTGGTGAGGCTGGTGCTGAGCACCCAGGAATTCCGCTGGGGAGATGAAGAGCAGGAGGCCTTTGAATGCCTGAAGCGGGCTTTCCGCAAGTCACCACTTCTCTGCCACCCCAAGCCCCAGAACCCATTCTACTTGGAAATAGGTATCACTGGAACGGCTCTGTACACCTCTCTAATCCAAATAGACGACCAGACTGGCAAGAGAGTCTCCTGTGCTTTCTACTCCCGAAGCCTCTCCCCAATTGAGGTCGAATACTCTCAAGTAGAGATGAAGATTCTTCCAATACGGGCTGCCTTCATGGTGTGGTGCCGCTACCTGGAGAACACCGAGGAGCCCATCATGATCCTTCTCAAAACGGAGGATCTAGCCTCTCTGAATAATGACAGGCTCACCGTACTTCTCCCGGGGCATTGGGTCTTCTTCTTCTCGCACTTCAACTTTGACGTCATGGAGCTGCCAGAACAGGATGGCGGCCGACCTCTACCACCAGGAAGAAACCATGGACAGAGAGCTTTCCGGAGGAACACTAGACCACACCTGCTCTTGGCCATGAGGGGCTCCCCCGGGGACCAGTCAACAGAATCCGGGGAAGAAGAGAATGAAGACCAGGATGAGCCAAATGAGCAGACCCTCGTGCAGGAACTACTGGCTATGATACCCATCGACCAAATACTCAACAGCATTCTTGCCCACTTCAGCATGGCCCAGATCAGGGCAGTGATCCTACATTTCTTCAGGGGCCTCCTATACTGGAAGAATGTGCTAGCCCTGGCAGCCCTCCTCGTGTTGCTGAGGGCACGTCAGTGTCTCTCCCTGCCACGAGCCCCCACCATGCAGGTGGCTCGGCCCCAACCGCAGCGCTCCCTGCGACTCATCCTGGATTCATCCCTCCTCTCGGGTAGCAGCATCACGACAGCCATCGCTCAGTTGCTCACCCAGATGCCCCCTCTTGGGGGCGTGAACAGCATCCCTGCCCGGGAGCTGGCCGAGCTGTTCCTAGGCCCTGACCGCTGGCAGCGAAATGCACTTAGTTCCCCAACCTCCGGAGGACTGCAGTTGACCACAGGATTCTGGCTGATGCTGTGTGAGTTCTTTGGTGTTAGAGTCACCCCCCAAGAAGGCAGCCATGCTGCCCCACGTGAGAACAGGTACTTGGAGCTGCACGTCGTTGGTGATGAGGATGTCGTCTTGCGAGAAGCCCTGCAAGACGACCTGCAACGTTACCGTCAGTGTGGCCTGCATGACGGCCTGCAAGACACCTCGCAGGACGAGCAGGACAACGACGTGCAGGAGGCCCTGCCAAGCGACAATGCCGTCGCCCTTCCATTCCGCCCACGCCACCTGATGGATCCCGAAGTTCTCGAGTTCCTCAACAATCGCCTACTCTACATTTGCAGCACCGATGGCCAACTGCACCTGCTCAGCCGGGAGCAGGCTGCCAGGGCTCTGAGCCGCTTCCTGACCCTGATCTGCTCACAGGCCCTGCCCCTGGCCCAGCCCAGGGAAGAGGCACAGCTGGAAGAGCTGCCCCACCAGGACGAAGATGCTGAAGACACGGACCTTGACTAAAAATTCCTCCTCCTGTCCAGCCAGGAGGTCCCTCCTTCTCTGGCCCCCAGCACCCCTGTGCCTCAGCCTGCTTTGCTCAGACTTTGCACCCCCGGTCCTGCCACTCCTGACCCAAGGGGAACTCACTTGTGAAGGGCAAAATTTCTTCATCAACCAGCAACATCATCTGTGCTAACTAATGGACAATCCAGTCATCAGAGACCCAGAGCCAGCTCAGGGCTACACAATCCCGTCTTAATTCTCCAGGTCCCAGGTCCAAAACCAGGAGTGACATCAATGAGAGGAGAAAGCAGTGACGAGCAGGAAATGACCCCATGACCCAAGGCCAGATGAAGAAGCAGGCACAGCAGAAGCAGCCAAGCAAGCAGGTACCAGGGAACCCCTCCCTGGAATAGGGTGCAGCCCCCTGTGCCATCCTGGGACACTGACCTCGGGTGCTCCACTGACTTCTTCTACCTCCAGTGCTGGTGGCTCCTGGCTCCCCTGAGCCCCAGGCCCCACCCACCCCCACGTCTTGTGGGGTCTCCAGCCCCCAGCCCCCACCCACCCCCACATCTTGTGGGGCCTCCCTCAGCCCTCCCCATTCACAAGCAAGCCCTCCCCCACCATCTGGTCCAGCTCTGTGGACACTAACTTCATCTGTCCCTGAGTTCTGGTCTCACCTGGACAAAGCCACTCCACAGAACATTCGATGTACTAGCACCACTTACCAGACCAGATCATCCTGATGGCTCCCAAGACTCAGAAGACATGGGAGGTGGCACCTGCATCTAGTGGGGCCCCTCCCCTCCCAACACTGACTGTGGATGTGCAGGGGCCCAGAGGCTATAAGGGAGGGCCCAAGAGAGCTGACTTTGGGAGTCACCAAGAGGGCTCCAACCCAGCCACCGCTTCGCATAGTAGAGATGCTTTTCCCCTCCCACAGACTTTCTCAACCCCTAAACTTTTTCTACCCCAAAATAAAGCAAATTAAAAGATTATCTAACTTTGTGCTTTGTTCCAAAAGGTGGGGCTGGGTAGGGGGATGGGTAGGGGAGCCAGGCACTATGAGGGGTGGGCCAGGAAGGAGGATGAGCACACCTCTTGCCTTCCTTTTCAGAGGGTCCTCTTCAGCACTCTGGCCCTTCTTTCTTTCTGCCTTGGGAAGGCTCCCTCCCAGTCCGACAGCCACACCCATCCCCACAGGCTCATTTAAAGGAGAATGGAGGTGCTTGTGACTACCTGGGGGAGTAGGGTACTAGTAGCTGCCTCTTCCTGAGGGTTCCAGAAAAGTAAGCCCAGAAATACGAGAATCCCCACTCCGGCCTGGACCTTCTTATCACCTGAGAAGTGAAGAGTGGGCAGATATGGTCTGTCCCCCCTGTCTGGAGGGTCTGTAATCCCTGGTCTCCAGCATTCCCTACCCTCCACTCCCAGTGGAAAAAACCTGAGCCCCACTTCAAAGGGTCATACTGTCCCCAAAATGGCAAAATGGCTGTCCTGAGGGAACATGGCCCTGGAGAGGGAGGAGGACCCAAGGGGAGGTCACACTTACTCATTCTGGCTTTGGGTATTCCATGGTCAGTACACACTGGCCCCTTTGTCCCTCCACACATGGGAACTCTGCAAAGAGGTAGAGGGCAGATGGCTCTGGGCATGACCATGAAATTCAGCTGAAGGGACTCAATACTGAGCCTCCATTCATATGGGCCCTCATATACCAAGGGACACCCAGGCTTTCCCTCTCTGCCCTATTGGAAATCTGCCCCTGAAGGCAGCACCATGAGACCACCCAACAGATCTCAGGTTCAAAGGTCAGGGGCTCTGCAAGGACCTGACTACCCTGGACAGGAAAGAACCCCATCTCCCTCCCAACACCACCCGTCCCAGGTGGTCCTTATCTTACCTGTCACATGAAAGGAAGCACCCAGACAGCTTCTTGCTCCACCCTCCTACACACCTGGGAACATTGGGCACAGAGTGGGGAAGTCCCCCCAGAGATACACCCCATAGGAGCCCCAGGTCACATGCTCTCCATGCCCTTCTCAGTCCCAAACCAGGCTCACAATGCCCCACAGTCCCCATAGGAACCTGGATGTTGCCACTACCACTTGTCCAAGGACTCTACCCCTGATGGCAGCACCCAGAGATCATGGTCAGGATCCCGGGTTCAAAGGCAGGGGCTTGAGCCCGGCACCTCTGGGCTTCTTCCTGCATCCTAAGGAAGTTATAGATGGCCCTACCCTGCCAACTGGCTGCAAGAAGACCCTTCCCAGCCTCAGTTTCCTATCTATCACTCATACCCATCAGGGCTGCTATGAGTTATGGACGAAGTGCTAGAAAAGCTCATACACAGAGGTTCCATCCTCCACTGCCCATCTGTGGATTTCCTATATCATCCTATTCAAGATAACTTGGGAAGTCAAAGTCAGAAAGGGCTGAAGAGAAGTTGGGAACAGAGCCAGGACTTATGGCCCCTCCCTGGTGGTCTTTGCCCTCTCATCCTGGGCCACCCCAGTTCACTCACACCTCCATGTCTTTCTAGCTGTTCACCCAGCAATGACTGTGACAGCAGCCACAAGAGGGTCATGGATCAAGGTCAGGCCACCACTGCAAGAACCCCAGCTGTGTGACCCCTAGGTCATAGCTGTCCATCTTCCCATCTGCAAATAAGGAGTTTCTAGAACAACAAGATACAATCTCCAAGGGCTCTAAAATTCCTTTTGTTCCCAGATGACATTCTTCTTGAGGCTCTGAAATTGCTCAAATGAGCAACCCTGGGTTCGAGCCTGAGTGTAATAAAAATGCTCCTGGTCAGATCACCTGGACACTTGCCCCTGGGAGTCCCAAGGCAGGGCCTCAAGGGCAAACCTCTGTCCCTGCTTGGTAGTGGCTCCCCCTGAGTAGATGTGATATGGATGAAGAACTTCTCTGTCCCTACAACCCCGGATTTTCAAGAACTGCCATCCTTTCTTGCTGAGCCATCGAAGGTAAAGAGACAAATAGGATGACTTCATAGGCTAAAACTAAACAGAAAATTTACTACCAATCAGCCCTGCCCTGCAGGGAGGGGAATCTACACACACACTAAGGTAAGCATGTTTATCTATAGTACACACACACATACATATGCACACATGTATTGACCAGTGGGGCCTGTGAACAGAGCAGTGGCCACTGCCTCCTACAGCAGCAATGATGTCCTCACTGGATCTCCCACTCCAATTCAGCCAGAAAGGGGCTTCACCCCATTTACAGAGAAAGAGGTCAGCCCCTAGGACCAGAAGAAATTAGCTGATGAAGAGTTTTAAAAACACAATACAAACTTTTATTCTCCTGGGGGAGTGGGGGGAAAGAAAGGTTAGCAATAAATGACATGCTGGGTATAACATCATGGCCAAAACAGGGAAAGGTGAAAACTCAAAACAAGCATCTTGATTAATCTAGCCAGCCTGGGTGCTCCCTAGCATATATACCCACACTGGCCATGACCAGGTACACCCATTTCCCACCTTCACCCACCCACCCCAAAGTCAGCAAGTTTTCTTTCCCCCTAGTGAAAACTATTCATCAACCTCCCTCCCACTTCTCCTCCTCCTCCCAACCCTCTACAAGACACCCCCATACTCCAGCCCTGGTGCCTACTGGACCTGTTTCTAGAATATACAACAGCACACACTCCCCAGGCAGCTGGGGGCTACTCACCACTCAGGTCCAGATTTGCTCATCCCTCTTGCATGTGGCTGAGGGTCTGATTGACCCTGATGGAGACTCCTGTGCTAAGAGCTTTGCTAGCTCCTAACAATCTGGCCAGAGATGAGGCATGAGAATGCCTCTCCACCTACCTGGGTGGCCAGTCTGCTCCCAAAGTGAGAAAGAAAAAGATAACAACAGAGAACATCACCTCCACCCTCAAACCCCACCCAGCACCCAGAGCCCTGTTGCTGGGCCAACTGGTATTCTTGTCACACACCAAGCCCATCAAGGTGATCTCGAACCCAAAAAGTAACTCTCATCCAGACCCCTGTCCACTTTCTTGAGCTAAACAAAAATAAGCATGTTCCAAGAAAGGTACAAGGTGAAAAGTTAGGGGGCGGGAGGGTGTCTGGAGGAATGGGTGAAGAGGAAGGAGGGAGTGGGAAGGGAAGAGGAAAGAGCTGACTCTTCTTCTTATTGTTTCTGATGCCTTCATGCTAAGGGCAAGGCTCCTCCTGGCCCTGCCACACTGATGCAGGTGCCTAGGCTGGCTGTTGTGGCTTGCTAATAGGGTTAATCACACAAGTATCACAAGAGTTTGGCACAAGTCACCTCTGCCATGCCATGCATGGGAACTGAGTTAGTAGGGGTACAAAAGACAGAGATCCATGGCCCAGGGGCCACCTCTATGCCAGCTGTTATCATGCCCTCAGGTCGCCAGTTTGGGAAGGGCTAGCATGGGAAGTTTGGGGTGCCTGGTGACAGCTTCCAGGGGACACAGAATTAGAAATCCTTAGGAAGATGGGAAGTGTCTTCAGAATGGGTTTAAGGAGAGAGTAAGAAGCCGCCTACGAGGGGCCTCAGCCTCCTGGTCATGAAAAAATCCTGAATAGAGGCAGAGACCCCTCAAGGAGACCCTCCTCCTAGGGCACTATGAAGGGTCAGCCCTGCTCTGTCCAAGCCCTGCCCCCTCTGTCCTGGGACCAACGAGCACCATCTCTCCACCATCTGTGCGTCCAGCTTGTGAGCCATGTCCCCTCAGAGGGGTATGACCCCAGCCCTTGGTGGGAAAAACCCCAGAGTAGGCTAGATGATACCTGTGGCCTGACTGCCTTGCCTGCCAAGGCATAGGGTAACCCTGAAACCAGTACTGGGGAGTGTCCCACCAGGGGCACAGCCTTCCCCACCAAGGAGGGACCCTCAGAGATGGCCCAGTTCCAGGCTCTCCCCTCCAGGAACTCAGAGAGCTGTGGAAGAGAGAGAGAGAAGAGCCCATACAGCATGCCAGGAAGAGGCTGGCGGGGCAGCAGCCAAGCGTGAGGACACATCCCCGTGCAGCCAAGGATGCAGAGGAGGGTCCGGAGGCTGCGTGTGGTTGAAGGGGATGAAGAAAGGCATCATATAGGAGCTGAATAACTGTGCCATCAACTCCTGTATGAAGCCGTTCCCATCCCCCAACTACTGACTACGGCCGCAACCCTCCTCCCAGAAATGCAGTGCAAGCGCTTAG